AAGAGAGAGAGAGAGACAGAAAAAGATACAGAAACAATGCGTAGCGATCAGCTGATCGCGTCAGGCACCACACGTAATCGCCCGCGTCTCTGACGGTGAGTTGCGCCGTCCCTGCCTACCTCTTGCATCCGACTTGTGATAAGTCAACTATTTTTATTAATAACTCAAAAAGTAAGCTTCAGACAAAATTTTGCCAAATAAAAAGTTGGCTTAGAATCTAGTCAAGAATATGTATTTTCAAGGATAACGGGTTGTTCTGAATCACCCTGTATACTGCAGTAATATAATATACTTTTTAATTGATTACTTTATTTACTTGTTACCTATTGCGATTCTGGAGATGGAGGAGGAGTGTTATTATTACTATATATCTGTGTGTGCCCAAGTGCAGTGTCAAGATGTTCGTGTATTTCCTCCACATGTGGTACCTCTATTTGGAGAATTTGCGTAATGTCCCTTATAACATTGTTGGTTATAGTTCTGAAACAGAAAAATATAATGTATAATTTCCGAAAAACTAGCTAACAGGACAGTTGTAGTTAAAACAGCTCATAAAAAGTTACAAACTATTATTGATGTACTTACAAGTTGTGAGGGAAATAACTGCCATTCCACTCAAACTCAGCCCCTTCGTCTTTCTTTACGACTTCCTCTATTGTTTTCTGCAGTCGGCGTATCTTCGTTACTAATATATTTATCGTGTTCGCCACCACAAATGCCGCTAGTGACACCACTTTATCAATTTTGTTGCACTCGCGTACAATGTCCATGTCGGTTTTGAAGAGACTGAGTTGCAGTCATCAAGCAGTTCATCTTTTTATATCTCAGTCTTTAAATGTATTTAGAATCTATGTATCTTTTCTTGCGTCCTGAAGAATGATGAACTTCTATCAGACTGCTACGTTTGTATCTGATCTATCTGTTTCTCTCCAGCTCTACGATTATTTTATACCTAAGTGTGCATGAAACTACAACCATGAAAAAACACAACCATGTCGCATCAAGACACTGTTCATTATAACGGATCATGTTGCATATAAACGTGCCAAAACTGCGCCAATGTAGATACCAAATTGGTTTATCTGCTTTATTGCAGTTACGAGGGATGTCTGAAAAGTTTCCGACCTAACAAAGATGCACACACACACACACAAGACATTTTTTCTTCAAATTTATTTTTATTTCTCTACATAGTCTCCTTGTAAGTCTATACACTAGTCTATCAACTCTGATTTATTGCGCCTGAACTGCGCCAACAGAGCGTTGGAAATGTTCATTCGAACACGTTTCTCGTTCAAAGTGAGCAAACGCGGCACCCAACGCGCAGACAGCTTGCGCATGCCTAAATCTTTATTCAATATATGACAAACACGTTCTTTGGACATATTCATAGCCTCTCCTATCTCTCTAACTTTAATTCGACGGTTGTCTAGCACCATTTGGTGAACTTGAGCGATGTTATCGTCAGTGATTGCAGTTTTTGGACGTCCCGAACGTTCATCGTCAACCAAGCTGGTACGGCCACGTTTAAACTCAGCTGCCCAAAATTTTACGGTGGTAAATGATGGTGCAGAATCCCCGTACACAACGTCCAACTCGTTTTTGATTTGCGTAGGCGTATTGCCTTTCAAAAATAAATATTTGATGACAGCTCGATACTCGATTTTTTCCATTTTTTCAAAAAACACTAACATCGACTCACTCAAACGATTGTCAAACAACAACTACGTGTCCAAAATGGTTGAAATTTTGGTGTGTACTTTTTAACGCATGCGCAAATACACTTGTCCACTTTTGTTGACGAGTGCTGTCAACTTCATGTTGAGGTCGGAAACTTTTCAGACATCCCTCGTATATAAAAGTTTATACCACCGTGGCCCAACTGACATATCGTGTAACACTAACAGTGTTACGTCCTGGCCCATGGATACGGTCGAGCTGTGATGAAACGCAACAGTAAACGCGTCGTTTTCCATATCTCTCTTTACAGTAGACACGGAAGTCCCGCTGTGAGAGAGTCGAAAGAGTTTGTTTATATTCGTCGACAGGTCAACGGCGTACGCCGATCTTACTCTGTCTAGCGAACACTCGCTCGTTGGTCCCTTTTTAGGTCTGAGACGCAAGTCTCATTTACCAAGAACGGGACCTAGCAATTTTAACGAGGAAATGAGAGTGGGTTGTACGGAGAGAAGGATAATAAAGAATAACTTTTTAGTTTGATTCCACACATTATAAAGTAGTTATATTTATAAAATAAACAAATCAAATTGTTAGCAAGTTACTAACAGACAAGTGTGTTGAAACTAATACAATGATGGAGCGCATAATTGTTTCGTACAAAGTAATTTATAAGCTAGGGTGTAAGTGTGAGAAAGAAGGGGAATGCGAGTTGTTTAGTGCAGCCAGCCTCTTTAACTCATGTTTACGCACCTTAGATCATCTTAGAAATGTATTTTCTTATGTCAGTTGATAAATTCGGTTTTGTTTCGTTTCTTAGGTTCTGATAGATTTAATAATAAAAATAAATTTGAATGTGTCATGGTTCTACGACTGATAGTCGGAGAGGGCTTTGTTTGTTTCCGTGATTTAGGAAGGAGGTGAGAGGTTATCCAGAGCAATTAAAAAACCGCAGACGTCTATCAGAAGTCATTCAGAGCGATTCAAAACAGCGGATGTCTATCAGAAGTTATCCAAAGCGATTCAAAACCGCGGATATTCTTTCTGATCAAGGAAGGAGGTGAGAGGCTAGCTTAGACAGTTCAGTACTGCGGCTGCTGTGTCTGATTTGTGCGAGATTTTATCGTTTTTCTCTCTTTTTCTCAATCTCTATTTCTAGTTCGTGGAATCTCAGTAATCAATTGGTTCCTTAAAAGCACTTACTACTTGGTTGAGCGGCGGCGGTGTCAGGTTGGCTGCAGGCACTCGGGAGTGGAAAGTTGGAAACCAGTGCGGCTTCGGTGTCCTGGTTTGGCACTCACTGCACCAAACTTTACCTTTAAAATTCTTTGCACCACAACACTTCCGACTCTTAAGATCAGCTGCTCCTATTTAATTCCGGTTCTGAAAGTCCTAGCTTATATACAATTTTGAGTAAGCGAGGACTCTCCCAATCGGAAAACGCAGTCGAGCTTCGCCAGTTCCTATTTGTTAGTTAATGGTCCGGAAAACTTTGTGAGATTGCCAATCGGCGACGATCTCTCGGCTCGGTCGGCTTGTCCGATTTTCCAGAGAAGGGAAAAGGGAAAGTGTTGGTTTTTTTTATCGCGTCACATAGACCCATAAATGGAATTTGTTTATAATAAAATTACTCGTGGCGCCGAAGTTTCTATTTGCGCCGGCTGCTCTAAATTTTATAAGCGGTGTTTTTCTTGACCCGGAGATATCCGGGTTTGTTGTGAAAACTGCTCAGAGTATTTAAACGATAGATTTTTCTTGCTTGTTATAGCAAAATTCCGGGTTCTTACTCAGCGCGGTTTATCTTTTCGGGCGCCGATATGATTTTCGTTTGCTCTTTTATCATTTGGAGTCTAAGTTTCCAAACGATAGGAGACCCGTTCAAGTAATTTATTGCTTTTCAGTATTTACAAAAAAAGGGTTTGTTATGCGTTGGCGCGTCGCGTTGCAAGAAAAAGGGGACTGTGGAGTTCTCAGGACGAACAAAAGATACGAATCATGTTTAACCGTAATCGAACCACAAATAATCCACGAACAAACTATGTGGAACCATAATCGAACCATAAACAAACCACGTTCAACCATAAGAAAACTACGAACAAACCATGTTTAACTATAATCGAACCTTAAGCAAACCACGTTCAACCATAAACGAACCATAAACGAACCACGTTCACCCATAAACGAACCATGTTTAACCATAAACGAATCAAACAAACCACGTTCAACCGTAAGCAACCTACGAACAAACTATGTTTAACCGTCAACGAATCATAAACAAACCACGTTCAACCATAAGCAAACCACGAACAAACCACCTTTAACCATAAACAAACTATGTTTACCCGCAAACGAACTATGTTTAACTAGAAACGAGCCACGATCAAACATGAAACCACGTTAAACCGCAATTAATACTGTTAATTTATATAAACATGCTATGGAGAAGAGTAGTAAATGTACAACTAAAGTTGTTCCATATAACATTTTATTGTTGTTTAGACCACCAAATAAATATTTTAAATACGTTTTGTAATGCGCAATGTTTCACATGTTTTTCATATCGTAGACAGTTCGCTACGTTCATTTTCTTTAAAGACACAATATCATCGTAATCTGCATCCAGTGTTTTGATAATTAATCCATGTCGCACGTCAGTATCGAGAATATCAGCTAGCCAGTCATGTTTCTTGAAACTTTTAACATAGACAAGATGAGACGCGTTGTTGTCAGTTTCTACTGTGTTACAAATAGCTGTTGTAATCAAATTCCTTGCTCTGCGGTATGCAACATTTCCATCTTCCTACGCAGCCCGTGATGATGCGTCATCAACCAAGAAGCTGCTGACCTGTCTGATCTTGCGAGTAGATTCTACGGGAATGGGCTTTCAAAAGTGTAGTGCGAAAGAACCTATTTGCAATATCGCCACTTCTTTGACAATAAATCTTTTCCCGACGACAAATCCTTGCAGGTCCACAAACGTCGGCACATCTATGATGTAATTGTGTGACCGATAAAAGACGACTGATGTCTATTGGTACATACTTTGGTTCTTAAACGATTTTCAGATTATAGAAAGGAGAAGTGCTGATGTTGCATTTTACGTAATCTTGCGCACTACAGTAAGTAACGGGTTGTATTCAATCACACGATCGTGCAAAATGAGACAATAAGCCGTAATATTTGCCGGTATATTTTCTCTGCAATCGAATTCAATTCGCACTTCAACGGTTGCACTCTTGACAACCTCAGTTTGACGTGAGCAATCACTGATCACTAAAGAACCACACTGCAGAAAATTGTAAATTGTAAGAAACGGTACATCACCACATCCGTAGTACGTTTTACGGAAATGTGTGTACGTGTCGTATAAAAACGCGTATTTTTTAAATCAAAATCTAACTGCAAGTCATCATAGGGATAGAATTCAAAGTTGAGATAAAATTTTAAGTTGGTCAACTGACAGTGATCGAATCGTGTAACATCTGCTGCCATATCGTTTCTTCGAGCAATCTGTAACGCAAATATGATGTATCTCGGTTTCTCGGTTGTGTTGCCGTTTTACAGCCCACGAATGTTTAGTAATGCTGTGTAATAATAAAAACTCGTAGAAATTCCACAATCGGAAACTCATGGTCAAATACCGCTCGCTTTTCAGAGTTTATAGCAACGAGAGCTTTGTGACATCGTTCAACACTATATGTGGCATTCGCCAGTGCACTTTGAATAATTCACTGTTTCTATTCAATGCTTCACGATCTCAGAAACTGCTGTTATGCAGTTTTTGTCGTTGCGCGATCGTATTAAAATTAGTTCATGACGTGCGTTGATAACCGTACGCTTGTAGTCTTCGCAGAATCCCAATAACATGTTGAGTGGTACACAGAAACTAAAGTAACTATCTACGTCCGTATGTTGGGTAATATCCCATCCGGCATTCTTCATGATCATGCTTTTATCATGTGTTAGCGATATATGGTTTTTGATCGTGCTGGTTATTCCAACGTTTTTATTACGATCAATCTCCACACCATTGAGTTCATAGCGAATCTCATCGAACATGAAAGCCACACAATTATTACTCAAATATACTTTTTCTTTAACTTTCTTCGTTAATTTTCTTTCGACGTAAAGAAAACTTTGACACGGTAAAGTGTACAAGTCCTGCTATTGTATAGGTATGCGTATCTCATCACTGTGTTTAAATGTCATGTTCACATACAGATTGTACGTGTGAGTTTCAATCTTGATACGATCGTCAAAGATCGGCTCACCTCTAACGTTTAAAATAATGACCATATTTTCACAATTCGCGTACAATAAATTTCAACGATTCTAAAAATTTAACGTTTATCGAACTCAGCTTCTTTCTATTACTGTACAGTCGGCGTCAATGAATCGTTTCGTGGACGCGGGGAGCTAGGGGTAAAAGGGACGGTATTCTCTAGCAGTAAATGCTACGAAACGATTTATTGACGCCGACTGTACGTCGTAGCAGGTGTTTGTAATGAAAACCTCGTATCTCGCGTCACCTGATCCGCCTCGTTCAGCACGAGCATGCCGCGTATTACAGTCGTCGGCGTCGCACGTGTAACCTGACGGTTATTTCCTCTCCTCGAAAATCAAGCAATTGTCCGTTTTAATCCTAACAATACGTATCGTCAGATCTGTAATGCTCTGCACGATGATCGGAAGGTAAATGATCTGTGCCGGTGTTTCCAAGATCTTATATCCTGGTGGTACGTTCGGTGAGAACTCATGTATTGTATGCACGCACCGGTTGTTGCTGTACGAACCCGCAGTCACGTTGCACTCTATTCGGATAATGTTAACGATTTGCTAATAGTAATCGGCACATCTGATACATACTACTACGAGTTGATGAAAAACCCAACAACTATCCAATGGTCTCGGGTTTGGTAAAATTTATTTGATAAGCGCAGTTTATATCACTTTTCATTGTGTTAGTGTTTGCGCGTAATATTAGTGGTAGGATGTT